CATAGCTGAGCTAAGCCACATTCAGGAAATAGCCACACAGCATGGGTATAATAAGAACTTAATATATAATATCGCTCGCACTTACACAAAGGCAAATGCATGTGACACTACCAATGACCCGGGGGAGTCTTTGAATAATAAGTGTAATAAGTGTGCAAGAAAAATCGTAGGGTACAACCACCATCTTGATAAAATATACAGGGAAATTTCGTCCATCACTAAAACAAAGATAGCTTACAGTAGGCCAAGATCTGTTTACAATTTACTTCGCAACGGAAAAGACACAATCGACTTGAAATACGCACCGGGGGTATATGATGTCCCGCTTTGGGATGACAGATTTAACAGCAGTTTGGTTTATGTGGGCTCAACCAAATGCTCCCTTCATAAACGGCTTCGGGAGCATAAATACGACATTGACAATAAAAAACACCACCGCACTATCAACGGTTGCCACGGAACCGGGAATCACGGCTGACATACAAAATGCCCGTCTGATCAGGCTCTCACATCGTACTGATCAACTGAGAGCCATGGAGATTCTTGAAATATATAAAGCAGGATTATGTAGCATGTGCATCAACTCCAGGGATGCAGTCGGGATATCTAGCGCGTAGAAGTTTTGTTATGAGGGAACCCCACCCCTGTAACTGATTTTGAATTGCATATATTTTGTCTGCTTTCGCCGTTTCGCAAATGTGATGTTGTGCGTGCTTAACCGTCGTTTCAGCACGTGCGTAATGTTCCATTTTTATTCTTAAATTTGTTTTTTTAAATTTTGAATCACATTCAGTTCGTTTTAATGTTCCATTCCACACACATATGAATTCCGCATAAACGTAACCTGATGAAGACCTGGATGGGGTCGAAACCATTCACTGGTGTGTAAACACGTATCACTGGAGTTACAAAGGTTTTTTGTATGTGCTGAATTGTATCTATATTTCCTCTGGTGTTTAAGAAGATGTTCATTCCTTATATTAGACTTGAAATATATGAGAGATATTGATGATGATAGCCAGATAAACTGGTGAATTATCAGGCAAAGTTAATATTGATTGAAGCCAGATGATTTTGGCAGATTGTCTGGCTTTAATCAAAAATCGGGTTTTTTGAGTTGTTGTTTATATTGATGATGATAGTTATGCAACCATAAATTTTGATGAAATTTTGTTTTTGAAGAAACATTCTTCAAAAACAAAATTAGTTATTTATGAAAGTTCTTTAGAATTTTTGTTTTATAGTAGTTCCTCCCTTTATCGCTGTAATGTTTCGGTTACCTTGCAACGACCACTCGCTCAGCACATTTGAGGATAAAATTACTATGGCATTTGTGCACTCTGTGTATCTGCAACAAAGTTTTTATGAATTATATGAAAAGTAGCATATTCACTTACAGGTTTGTCTTGGATAGTGCAGAACTTTGGTTAATTGGGACTTGGATTATTAGTGTAGTACTTTATATACTAATTCAATTCTATCTTTCCTTGATAATTAGAGAATTTTTTATCAATATAAATATACTGTAGATTGCTTTTGTCATGATAATTTATTGGACATCCTCCTCTAAGTGGTGATTTTGGCTATTTTTAAATTTGTCTTACTTTCTAATTTTTCTGTGGAAAGTCTTACTTTTTAAGCTTCGAAACACAGTAAGAGCACTGCTTTTGTGAATGACCATATCATTTTTCATAATAGTCTTGGAGACGTAATTGCAGACATTGTTAAAAGCTTGTGTCACCACATTTTCTACCTCTGCTGCAGACCTGAATCTTCAACCTTTCAATTCCTATTTTGTCTTGGAGACATTGCTAACCTTCCATGTGGAAGATTAACAATATTCCCACAACAGAAGGAATTTAGGCAGGACAAATCAAAAGGGAAAGTGATGTTAATTGTGTTTTTCAATATCCAAGGTTTTGTATTTGTACATCACAAACTTATTCCTGGAGAGCATGCTATGGATAAGGAAATGTATGTGGAAATTCTGAAAGGACTATGTGATTCTGTACGCTGAAAATGACCTATACTGTGGTGAGGAAAGAACTGAGTTCTGCATCATGATAATGTCCCTGCGCATCAGTCATTTCTGGTCACAGAATAACTGGCAAAAACTGGCTGGTCTTGCCCCTGCTGACTTTTACCTGTTTCCTAAGATTTGGGTCTGCAGCAAAGGTGGAAAATGCAGTGACACAAGCTGTTCATAATATGTGCAAAAATAATTTACAGGACCATTACAAGAAGTGGTGCGGGTGTTGGAAGAAGTGCATAGCTGTGGAAAGATCTTGCTTTGAAGATGATGTGGCATAATGGCTTTATTGTGTTAAGTAAAAAAAACTGTGCAAAACAGTTTGCATGAACAGTAGAATAAGAATACAGTGGTACCTCAGGATACGAACGCCCCAGCATACAAAATTTTCAGGATATGACATTAAATTCGAACATATTTTTGCTCCACAATACGAACAAAAACTCGCCATACAACGTTACATTAGTTCGCAGCACCATTTTTTATTCACTTTTGTTCATTGGTCTCAGTCCACGTTTTGCTTCATTGTGGAAGGATCTTGCTCGATAAAGGAAATCTTGAGGTATTATCAGAAAGTGACTGATTTTATTGACAAGAAACATCCCGAAAAGATTTACATTGGCCGTATTGCTGCTCGGAGTAATGACATTTGACAAAGTCATTTTAGAAACATTTTAAAAAGTAGGCAAAGCCAAACCTCTTTGGATAGATATTTTACCAAGCGTCTTCTATCCAGTGGAAGTGAAGGAATGAAAGCAAAAAGCAGTGAATAAAAATTTAAAAATATATATATAAAACAACACTAATTTTTTAATCTTTTCTAAGTTATTTCTAAGTTATTGTTACATTATGTTATGTAAGTTAAGTTTTAGTATCATTTTCCTTCGCTCTCTCTCTTCCGCCGTCAGTTTACACCTCCACCGTCGTCTATCCTCAAAGGTAAAGCAGAAATAAAACAACATTTTTTTTATTAATTATTATTCTATTATGGTTATTTATACATTTACAACTACAAAACACATTTTTAGTGTTTTCCTTACTATAGTTATTTTTTTTTTAATGTACTACTTAGCTATAATTTGAGTGTGTTTTTCATGTTGGAACGAATTATTTGGTTTTACATGTAATCATATGGGAAAAAATGATTCACATTACGACATTTTCATGATACTATCTCAGTTTCAGAACGGATTAATTTCGTATCCTGAGGTATCACTGTACATTGATTCTACTGTTCATAAACAGTAGAATCAATGTAATGTTTCTTAAACATTGGTGCTGAAAGTAGCTAGTAAAAGTGTCTGTGTGTTTGTAGAATCTATGTATTGTAATTGCTTAGAGACTTATACTGGTAATAATAACCAACCGATAACATTGATCAAGGTAAGTAAATAAGACTACAGTTATTGGAAATTATGGCTTTGTTGATTGTGACATTAAAAGGACATGCTAAAGAAATTTTAAAAATGTATAAATTGAAGATTTATTAATTATGGTAGTTGTTACTAATGTCGTTATAATTATTATTAACGTACATGTTTTGAGACGTACTAATTTTGATAACATTAACTCAACTGATAAAAATATATGTACTGTATGTATGATATAAATGGAGTCTATTCTATTCTAAGATTCCTTGTCAATTTATTTTAAAATTTACTAATTACACAGAAATTCAATGATGCAGTAAGAAAATTAAAATTTATTGATGAAAATACTGCCTTTTGTACAGTCTAGTATCTATCTGAATCACACACACTGTATCACAATTAAATTAAAAATTTACTCACAAGAAGTATAGTGAAGAGTTTGATAATGCCACAGGTCAGGTTTAGCAACATGGCAAACAAGTGTTGTCTGATGTGTTACCGACTTCTAAGCATAGTGTTAGTTAGGCAAGCTCAGAAGCAATTTGTACAAAATCTTTAAGATGTTTATCTAGAGAATCTGGATTATCATATGATTCTGTTTATACTGTACTGTACAAAAAGAATCAAATTTCAGCATTATAAAGTAATGATTTCTATGAAATTTTATTTTACTTTTAAAATTTCAAGTGGTATCTCTCAATTATGTAATAAATAAGTGTTCAAGATTTAAATGCTATTTGCAATGTGTAGAATGGTAACAAACACTGATAAGTTTATTGCATTGCAAAATCTGATTAAGTCTAAGGTGCTGCTAGGCTCTTTACAAGCAAACTTTTTGTTTGATTTAGTATATTACTTCAAAGATAAAACAAAAAATGCAAATAGATCCAAATATTTTCAGATATAAAAATCTAGTGTTTTAATGACCAGTTTCAAATTTTTGTTTGATTTTGAATATTTAATAATTGTATACAATATAAGGAGTGTTCAGAAAGTTCCCAGAAAATGTAAATAAAGAGATGGCAAATTGAATTTAGTGCAGTATTATTCAATGTGTGTTCTATTTAAGTTAAAACATTTTTCCCTACAGTGTCGCCACATTCCATTAGAAATCGGTGCTCTTTGATTTTAGCCACTTTTCTACAAAACATTTCACTCGATCTATCGACTAACAGCGAATTCCTTTAATGTCTCCTTTTAAATTAGGGAATAAAAAAAAACAGTCTGATGGTGCTAGACATGAATACCTGATAAAACAAGTCTTCATGAGTTTACACTCTCGTCAATTAATTATAACTATAGCTTGTTGTTTACGAATAACAACCATTTTCTGGAAATTTTCTGAATGCCCTAAACATAGTAATTCTTTCGTAAAGTTAAAATTTTATGAGAGAGGGGAGCAATAAATATAAGTACCGAAGTTAAGTCTCAAAGATACATTTTTAAACTTAATAATTTTAAGATTTTTACATGTTATGCATTTTCATAATAAAAATTTACATGAGAAATTTGCTTAAATTAATTTCGTTGTTATAAAATTTTACTTTTGTTAAATTATTATTTATCACTAAAACTCATTTTCCAAAAATCAATTTTTCTAGGAATTCGATCCTAGTTCCGACGATGACGACATATCGGAAGGAAAACAAGTGATAGTTGGAATCTGTGCAATGGCTAAAAAGTCGGAATCAAAACCAATGAGAGAGATTTTAACAAGACTTGAAGAATTTGAATATATAAAGACAATTGTTTTTGCTGAAGAAATTATTTTAAATGTAAATTTTAATTATTTTAATCTTTTATTGATGATATATTGTTGACTTTTTATATGTTTATGATAAATATTATATAGATACTATCTCAGTTTCAGAACGGATTAATTTCGTATCCTGAGGTATCACTGTACATTGATTCTACTGTTCATAAACAGTAGAATCAATGTAATGTTTCTTAAACATTGGTGCTGAAAGTAGCTAGTAAAAGTGTCTGTGTGTTTGTAGAATCTATGTATTGTAATTGCTTAGAGACTTATACTGGTAACAATAACCAACCGATAACATTGATCAAGGTAAGTAAATAAGACTACAGTTATTGGAAATTATGGCTTTGTTGATTGTGACATTAAAAGGACATGCTAAAGAAATTTTAAAAATGTATAAATTGAAGATTTATTAATTATGGTAGTTGTTACTAATGTCGTTATAATTATTATTAACGTACATGTTTTGAGACGTACTAATTTTGATAACATTAACTCAACTGATAAAAATATATGTACTGTATGTATGATATAAATGGAGTCTATTCTATTCTAAGATTCCTTGTCAATTTATTTTAAAATTTACTAATTACACAGAAATTCAATGATGCAGTAAGAAAATTAAAATTTATTGATGAAAATACTGCCTTTTGTACAGTCTAGTATCTATCTGAATCACACACACTGTATCACAATTAAATTAAAAATTTACTCACAAGAAGTATAGTGAAGAGTTTGATAATGCCACAGGTCAGGTTTAGCAACATGGCAAACAAGTGTTGTCTGATGTGTTACCGACTTCTAAGCATAGTGTTAGTTAGGCAAGCTCAGAAGCAATTTGTACAAAATCTTTAAGATGTTTATCTAGAGAATCTGGATTATCATATGATTCTGTTTATACTGTACTGTACAAAAAGAATCAAATTTCAGCATTATAAAGTAATGATTTCTATGAAATTTTATTTTACTTTTAAAATTTCAAGTGGTATCTCTCAATTATGTAATAAATAAGTGTTCAAGATTTAAATGCTATTTGCAATGTGTAGAATGGTAACAAACACTGATAAGTTTATTGCATTGCAAAATCTGATTAAGTCTAAGGTGCTGCTAGGCTCTTTACAAGCAAACTTTTTGTTTGATTTAGTATATTACTTCAAAGATAAAACAAAAAATGCAAATAGATCCAAATATTTTCAGATATAAAAATCTAGTGTTTTAATGACCAGTTTCAAATTTTTGTTTGATTTTGAATATTTAATAATTGTATACAATATAAGGAGTGTTCAGAAAGTTCCCAGAAAATGTAAATAAAGAGATGGCAAATTGAATTTAGTGCAGTATTATTCAATGTGTGTTCTATTTAAGTTAAAACATTTTTCCCTACAGTGTCGCCACATTCCATTAGAAATCGGTGCTCTTTGATTTTAGCCACTTTTCTACAAAACATTTCACTCGATCTATCGACTAACAGCGAATTCCTTTAATGTCTCCTTTTAAATTAGGGAATAAAAAAAACAGTCTGATGGTGCTAGACATGAATACCTGATAAAACAAGTCTTCATGAGTTTACACTCTCGTCAATTAATTATAACTATAGCTTGTTGTTTACGAATAACAACCATTTTCTGGAAATTTTCTGAATGCCCTAAACATAGTAATTCTTTCGTAAAGTTAAAATTTTATGAGAGAGGGGAGCAATAAATATAAGTACCGAAGTTAAGTCTCAAAGATACATTTTTAAACTTAATAATTTTAAGATTTTTACATGTTATGCATTTTCATAATAAAAATTTACATGAGAAATTTGCTTAAATTAATTTCGTTGTTATAAAATTTTACTTTTGTTAAATTATTATTTATCACTAAAACTCATTTTCCAAAAATCAATTTTTCTAGGAATTCGATCCTAGTTCCGACGATGACGACATATCGGAAGGAAAACAAGTGATAGTTGGAATCTGTGCAATGGCTAAAAAGTCGGAATCAAAACCAATGAGAGAGATTTTAACAAGACTTGAAGAATTTGAATATATAAAGACAATTGTTTTTGCTGAAGAAATTATTTTAAATGTAAATTTTAATTATTTTAATCTTTTATTGATGATATATTGTTGACTTTTTATATGTTTATGGTAAATATTATATATAAATAAGTATATTATATGTAACATAATCATAATTACAAATAATGTTATATATACAGTAGAGTGTCGTTTATCCGAATCAATTGGGGACTGGGGTTGTTCAGATAACTTATTTTTCGGATAACCGATTATGTATGAAAAAATATATTAACCTATCTCGTGCTGAAATTTTTCTCCGTTGCGTGTCGCTTCGCGTTGAATTTTCGTCAATGTTAAGCGTAATGTAAACTTTTTAAAATAATAATCGTGGCTATTGTATCGTTAAAAATTATTTCTTTATTTTTTACAAACAAAGTAAATATGTTGAAAAATATAAAAACAAAAATAATTATACTTTAGAAGTTAATCTAGTATCAAAAACGTTCTATTTAGCATGACACACAGTCCTCAGAAAAACACCACACAAAAGTGCCAGTGCTGCCAGCTAAAACATGCACGTCAACAAAAAAATATTGGAGTAGCCCAAGATATAGCCAAAGACTGCAGCGCCACAGCACTAGTGAAAATTTAAATTTGCAACTGGAATTCTTTCGAATAACCGACTTTCAGATAAACGACGCTCTACTGTAACTTTTTAATAGACTCCTACAATTGATTTGAATCACAAGACAGAAAAATGTCCATTACCAAAATAACTGTTTTTAAGGCAGTACTTTTTTTCAATTAAGAATTTATTACAAGAGCCCAAATGAAGATGAAATTGTATAAATTCTTAATCATCGATTAAAAATTTGTACAATTTCAGTTTTTATTTGTTTATGCAAAATCATTCTTAAATTACATACCATACTTTCCGGCGTATAAGATGACCCCGACTTTTGAGAAGAATTTCCTGGGTTAAAAAGTTGTTTTATATGCTGGAAAATACGGTAGTTTTTAAGAGCTTGTACAAAGGTCAGTCAGTAAGTAATGCACAATCACCTGTAACTCTGCAGTTTTCAAAGGTTGAATCATGAAACTTGGTGGGTCCTTTGGCTTCAGAGAACAGTCACTCAATGTAGGATCCATTGGCTTCACATTGCAGCCAACATTATTTCCATTACACAAACACACATTGGTAAAACTCTGGAGGTTGACACATGCAATGAGTTCTGCATTAGACTGAAATACTATCCCAAGCAGATGTGCTTTCAGATGACCAAACAGATAAAAATCTGATGGTTCCAAGTTTGGGCTGTACAGTAGTTGTAGCACCAGCATCCAGCATAGTTGTGTCACTTTCTGCACTGTCATCTGTGCAGTGGGCAGTCTTGCGTTATTGCAATGCAGTTTGATGTTCTCAGCTTGCGAATATGTTCTCTTAGTTCTGAGGGATTTGTAGAGAAACTGTATTACTGACCATTGACTTAGTAGTGTGTTCATTTCACCATCCATTACACGTCACATGCATAAAAAATAAACAACTGTTAATGCTCATTTGGAAGTTAACAGAACAAGGGTCCTAAATACTGAATTTCATGCTTCAAACATTATAAATAGCAACATTTTGGGGATTGTGCATTACTTATTGATTGATCTTTATAGATTTATAAAATTCTTGATAAAAATCAAATCATTGTGGAATTAGTACTATGAAGTGTTACTGACATTTTCAAAATTACATATAAATAGACCTATGAAATATATTTAAAATAAAAGATGACTAACATGTGTGCATGCACCCNCGTTCGGACCAATGGAGATCGAACGGATCGGCTGTTTGTTCCGCCCCGTCATTGCGTCATATATATATATATGTATGTATAAAAGCTTTGAATTCAATTTGGTTTTGTCTACTCTGATTAAAAAATTAACTTTTTTGTTTAAGACTTGAAATATTTATCAGATATATAGCTCACTCAAGAATTGTATTAGAATTAAATTACGGATGAAGGATAAATCATACATAAGGAATTATCAAACCCAGTTCATTAATAAAATTAGTAGCTTAAACATAACCTGGTAATTTCAATAATTTATTTTTGGATTAAAGATAAATTATTATTTCTAAATACTTATGGCTTTGTTAACAGCATGTTTATTTTATTTTAAAGAGAATAAGCAGTCTTGTAATTTTAAGTAATTAAAAAATTTAATGTTATATATAAAAATTATTGAATATTAATGTGTTGCCAAAATTGACTGATGGAGTTTTGTGAGATTATTGTGGCAGACACATTAATCACTTTGCTCCAGAAGTTTTTGTATTAAAATCAGTAATTCAGAGATTTTCTACAAAAGTCCATTTTGTTCACTCCACTGTCCTGAAAATTTTAGATTTAATACATCATACACAGTAGTCACTTAACCATCATACTTTGTGGTGGTACATTACCATACTTTGCATACATTGTCTGTAATTTTTTTTTATATGAATGAGTTACAAACTAAATATTGATGTCAAGTTCTCAAAACCTTACTAAGTAGCATTAATTTTTTAAATTTAGTGAATTTATAAAGGCTGTCTTCAAGTTCTTTTATATTAATATGTACTAAAAACAATTTAAGTATAAAAAAAAAAACAATTCAAAATATCAAACTTCCTTTAAACAATGTCATTAGAATCTGTATCAAAATTTTTCATTCAAATTCATGTAAAAAATTCAAGTGCATGTTAGAATGCTGTTTTTAGCTGAATATATTCTACTTATTATTTTAGTTTTACTTCAGTAACAAATATTAATCTTTTTCTGAAATCTGTATATGGAAAACTGTATTTAATTTTTATTTATTAGAGCTTGTTCATATTATTTTTAGGAATCTGTGAATGATTGGCCTTTATGTGATTGTTTGATTTCGTTTCACTCTAAAGGCTTTCCATTAAAGAAAGCAATAGAATATGCTAACTTAAGGAAACCATTTATTATAAATGATTTATATATGCAGTATGACATTCAAGATAGGTATGTTTTATGTAATAATAATTGTACAATATAACATGAATATGAAGTGTATTTATATATATATTAAAACTTCTATACTGTTTTAGGAGAAGAGTGTATAGTTTATTAGAAAAAGCAGGAATTGAACTTCCTCGATATGCAGTGTTAGATAGAGATTCTTTAGATCCTTCAGGTAATCAAAAACAAATTTTAATTTAGTCACATGTATTAGATGTTAATTGAATAAATTATTGTCTGATATTAGTTTTTATTTTAGAAAGGGAACTTGTTGAAGGTGAAGATCACGTAGAAGTTAATGGTATTATTTTTAATAAACCATTTGTTGAGAAACCAATTTCAGCAGAAAATCACAACATATATATATATTATCCTACTTCTGCTGGAGGTGGTAGCCAGAGATTATTTAGAAAGGTTTGAAAGCTAAAATACTTATTGCATGTGTTTTCTTTATTATTGTTGTTGATCATTTATAATATTTTCTTAAAACTTTATGTAGATTGGTAGTCGTAGCAGTGTTTATTCGCCTGAAAGTAAAGTCAGGAAAACGGGTTCTTATATTTATGAAGAATTTATGCCTACAGATGGAACAGATGTAAAGGTATTCTTAATTTAATCTTTTGTTTTAATGGATTAATGAAACAAAAAATGAAAATTTAACGTACTAATGAAAAATAAAATGATTTGAAATGGGAGATATTTCATAGAGACTATTTTAGATTTGATTCTTATTCAAATGGAAATTAAATCATAATAGTATTGTTAGTAAACAAAATATCAAACAACTTATTTTAAAAAATGGGATGAACAAGAAGTAAAATCTAAATATCATATTTCCTCAATTTAAACCCTGCTGGGTTTATTTTTAAAATATATCCCCCAGGGTTTTTTCAAAGCTTTTTCAGTTTATTACATTGCATCAGGAGACAAGCACACAAAAATTCAAAGAAATACTTTAGTTTGTTTTTAGAACTGTCAAAACCATTTATTAATTGTATTTATGGGTTACAACTAGGGTTTACCAAACCTCAGTTTGAGACACTCTAAATTTTTAGTCCATGCTTAAATTCTGTATAAAATTTCTGTTTATTGAAATTTGGTATTTATGATACTAATAATAAAACAAACCTATATATTAAGAAGATCCAAATAAAATACTTTTGTGTATTTAGTTAGTTTTTATTTAGGCCTGTATATTGAGATTTCATACATTTAGCAAAACAACTAACTAAAATTCATATCTTGTTTTGCCAGCACCTCTTTAATTATAATTAACAAACTGTTATTGTTTGCAATAATACAAGGTACTTTTCATGACATATCAAATGTGCACAAAATGAAACACTATTATATAAAACAGCATATCTTAAACAGAAATAAATCAATTAAATATTTAGAAAGTTTGCTATAAATATGCATAATGCTTTACTTGCAGTTTAGTTCCTTTTTTTTTTTTTTACTCTTTCTTACCCTCTTTCTACTCTTTTGTTGCACTAAAGGAGTAATTTTTTTCTTACCCTTTATGGGTTTGGCCAGGTCCATAATGTGATGGCGAAAGCCTGGGATCAAGCTTATCTGGGCCAGAATGCACAAAAAAATTGTGGGGGTTGCTCAACTTGCACTCAACCCCAGAGCAGTAGACTGATGCCCAAACTTCCTCAATCATCTGGTCATCAAGTTTTTGACTGAGACCACCTTCAAGAATTTCTAAACTTTTAATTTCTTTGGCATTTTTTTACTTCTCTCTGCTTTTTGTTAAATCTTTATTAAAAAAAATAAATGAACATGCATACTCATATCTTTTAAACAGTGTTTTCAATTGGTGAAAAAGCATTTGATTATTTTTATAATTTGCTAATGCAAAGCCTCAAATTAACTTAAAAATTCTGTTGTGCAAACTCTCATTTCAGTATTGTAGAGATGATGACAAAACTAAGCTGATAATCTTTACAAAGTATTAAAGATAAAATACAACTAGCAGGTTTTCTTTAATAATTAAATTTTGTTTCTTTATGTCTTCACTAACAATGTTTTGACAATGTACAATTTCTACTTAATGCTGTTAAAATGTACAAACTTTGGACTAGGTCTTGTCATATTTTAGATCTACTGTCAAGTGAGTAAAAGTGAAAAGACTCGGTCTGACTATTTCAAACTGAAAATCTCTAGTAACTATTACATTTCTAATAATTACTGTTTATAGTTAATCCCATTTGGTATCTTTTGATTCAGTTTGTTACATTGTCATTCATATCTACTTCAATGTTGTTGGAATCAGGATCTTGACTATTATTTTTTGGTTCATATTCACCATATCTTTCCTGTTCAAGTTTTCCTAATTTTCCTTTGACTGATAAGCTCTTAACTTATGAACTGGATACAACTTTCCCATACTCAATATTCAACAATATTTATAATTCTATTTCCAAAAATATTACTGTGAATCTTTGAGTAGAAAGTGTTGTCTATTTCTAGACAATTTGAAGAAACAGAATTTTAGTTAAATTCCTTATCTGTCTTTCTATACTACATAACCCTATACAGCACAGTACTTTGGCAGGTTTCTCAAGCTTTTCAACCTGGGATTTATATGAGACTGGGGTTTATTTGAGGAAATATGGCATGTGGGAGCATTAATGAGAAAAATTATCAATTAATAAACAAATCATAAAATTGTGTAATACATAATTATTGGTCAGATTAGTATCAGTTATTTACTTGCAAAACATTACTTCTGTCATGTGTGCAGTTGATGAGTTTTGAGTTTTGTTACAAATAAAAGAACAAACCACCAGAAGAAACTAAATTCTTTCATACAGTAGAAAAATAGTTTTTTTTTTTTGTTGAAGGATTGAATTTCCTTTTTTGAAAGTGTCTCCATTATGAATAAACCAGAATAAATTCTTTATAGCTGTGATTTTGCAACAGTATTTATATAACAAATATCCAAATAAGTTATTTCTTAATTATTCAATTAAATGCAGATTTAGACTTAAAAAAAACTAAATAAATACAACATTAATTTAAGAAATTTGTCAAAAATTAATTATAAAATTAGTTTCTTGTTTATAATAATCAACTTATTTACTAGGTTTATACTGTTGGACCTGATTATGCACATGCAGAAGCACGAAAATCACCTGCATTGGATGGAAAAGTAGAAAGGGATAAAGAAGGAAAAGAAGTCAGATATCCAGTTATATTGAGTAATATTGAAAAACTTATTGCTCGTAAAGTTTGTCTGGCATTTAAGGTTTGTTACTTTCTTAAATCCTTAAACTATTGTTTATTTTATATGCGCATACATGTCCATATTTTTATAGGCTGATAACTCAGCAGTTTGTTTGGCCATATCTGTACTTTTTCTTTAGAGAACATAATAATTTAATTATTTGTGACTAAATTTACATACTGAATAATTTAAAGGTCATATTCACTATCTTGAGTTAAATCTAGAGTAAGGTTTATTAAATCACAAGTTTAATTAAAATTAGTATTCACTGAACATTAACTATAGATAATTCATTTAAATCTGAATTATGTAGATTAAGGAATATGCTATTTGAATTCTCAATAAAATGACAAATGTATTTGATTTTTAGGATAATTTTAAACTGTTACTATTCCAGTTGAAAAATTTCTTTTGTATACAGTAATATGAAAAAGTTTACTGATAATTCATTTAAATCTGAATTATGTAGATTAAGGAATATGCTATTTGAATTCTCAATAAAATGACAAATGTATTTGATTTTTATGATAATTTTAAACTGTTACTATTCCAGTTGAAAAATTTCTTTTGTATACAGTAATATGAAAAAGTTTACTGATATTTTTTACTTTCATTATTAAATTGAAATATATATATATATTAACAAATATTATTTTTNTTTTTTAAAAAAAAATTATGTTACGTCTACATCAAATTATTCTTGCGTAACAGTTTTGTTTCATAAGCTATTAGAGTTAAGCGATATCATAAGTGTCACTGTAGCTTATTTCGTAGAATAAATAAAATTAAAAACTATTAATTAATGCGTAACATTTCCCCTTTTTAATTTATTTTATTTTAAACGTCGTAAAATGTTGATAACATTTTTAGATTTTAGTAAATAATATCTATATATTTTTTAATCAAGAATTAAAATTGTTTTATTTTTATTTTCAGTACTGTATTGATTTTTCTAGTTTGAGTTTTCTTTTGTTTTAAAGTAAATTTGCAATTAAATTTATTTTTCCAATAAAGGTAATGGATATTGGATATTTTTTTCTTTTTTTATTTTCCTTTCTTTTTTTGGGAATAAATTATACAGTATATTTATTACAGAAAAATTAATTTATTTTGTCTTTTTTTAAACTCTTGCTTGGTTAGTTTCATCAGAATATTTTATTTATCGTCTAGTTATATGATAGTTTTTTTATTTTTTTTAGAAAATCATTAAAAATATGCATATATATATAACATTTATATTCTTTAAACATATAATATATTTACAGCATAAAAAATATATAGAAAAAAACTAGCCTATATTAAACTAGAAAATTTACGAGTGAAAACAATTAAAAAATATTAAATAAATGGATAAAAATATATTTAATTTATAATACAGTCGAATTATAAACAGCGGCCATTTTTATGTTTCCATCTGTGAAGAAGTTTCACTGTATCTAAATAATCTAAAAAATATCATAAATTATATTATAATTTTAAAATAAATTAAAATTCATTCACAAACATAAACACGATTAGAATAAATATAACGATGATTAATATTACATACCGGAACAGAATACATTCTTTACTTTATTGTAAATATAATATCTACTTATATTATTTATCCTTACTTTTTGTATTATTCTAACACATATTAAATTGAAATATATATATATATATATATATATTTTAACAAATATTATTTTTAAATTTGTTAATTTGTTTTTTCTAGCAAACTGTCTGTGGATTTGATTTATTACGAGCAAATGGAAAATCGTATGTCTGTGACGTCAATGGTTTCAGTTTTGTAAAAAATTCCATGAAGTATTATGATGATTGTGCTAAAATATTAGGGTAAGCATAGATAAAATTGTAATGAATATTCAAAAGTTTATTAAAATAATTGTTGATTAGAATAATTTTAAATTTTATAGCATAAGAAATATACATAATGTAAAATAGTTATAACTTATCATTTACAGTTAAAACATTTTCTGTAAATTTTTAATATGATTAGCCTAATCAATGCTAGTTTTTGAAGTTAAGAATTAAATAATTATATGTACAGTATTACAAAAGTGATGATAATATTTTTGAAATATTTTTAAAATACTAACGTTTATATATTTATAATGCTTTTAGAGAGTATTGCAAATATTTTAATTTTATAAAAAATTAATTTTATAGAAATATGATCCTTAGAGAGCTTGCACCAACCCTTCATATTCCATGGTCAATACCTTTCCAGTTGGATGATCCACCAATTGTTCCAACAACGTTTGGTAAAATGTAAATACATGTATTTTTATTCTGATATTTGAACTGAAATTATTCTAAAATTAATTAAATTAAATTTTAAATCAAATTATTATGTCACTTTAGGATGGAATTACGATGTGTAATAGCAGTCATTCGTCATGGAGATAGGACTCCGAAACAAAAAATGAAAATGGAAGTTAAACATCCAAAGTAAGTTGTTTCATTATTTCCTTTTTTCTAGAAGATGTATACAATATAAATTACATATATTGTAAGTTCTTGTTTCAGTAAATCATTGACTGTTAATTATGCTTTCAATTAAAAGTTTTGATTTTAAGTTTGTTTTAAGATGATTATCTTAACATTCTTTGTTATCCACTGTAGCTTTTTAGTCTGTTTTATAAATCATGCTTGTATGATAGTAAAGTGCCATTGAGTATATTTTTTATATATAAAATTTTCAACTTTTATTGAAAGAAGTTGAAATCATTAATTATAGCATCGGTTAATTTTATTCCATATTTTTACATTTGTCATTTTTAATCTCAACATATTTATCTCGTGTTGTAAATTTTATTGTGTTTGTTTACTGTTTACCAAGAGGTTGATTTTTAACTCTACATTGGTAATAGATGTAAATTGATAACAACATATTGTTTTCAGCTATAAATAGCTTTATCTTTGTTTGAACAAGTATTATTTTTTATATTTTTGGATTTAAGGATAAATTTTTATTTTGAAAAGTTGATAACTATTTAATTGACATTAAAAAAAATATATACAAGCAGTTTTAGGAGTTTGGAATTATTTGATTAGAAACTTTTGAATATTAATATTAGCTCAGTATTATTTATGTGTTGCACTGAGTACAATCTTGTGTAGCATCAGTCACAATTGTGACTGGAGGACCTCTTTGGTGCCTTGACAGGACTGGCGTTACCATATCTTGTGCAACATGGAAGCTGCGGCAGCGAAATTGTTTTGGTTAGAAAGTGGTTCATGAGTAGCCACATACAGTGCAATCCGATTCAGATGGAGGTGAGTGAGACAGCGTTGGAAGCAAGACACTAAGATACTAAGTTAACAAAACAAATACCCATTTATTTTTGTTACTAGATCTACAGGCTAACAGTAACAAGATAATTAGACATTGGATATGAGAGTGACATTGATGCATTTCGCAAGTGTGTGTTTACAGTGAAATCACACATTATTATAAGTACCTGGAATCAGGAGAGAGTCATTTGTATATGAAATGATCATTTGATTGCCTTTAGAGTATTTTATACTTGAAAGTTCAGAGTACACTGTAAACAATTCAAAGAAAGGTGTGGAAGATTCTGTCTTGGACGGGAGTAGGAAATTTCCTTGGGCAGAGGACATGATGGAGACTTCGGAGATGGAGACGATAATCTGTTATTTGCAGGAGATTGTACTCTATGTTCTTTTGGAGAGAGACAGGGTTCTATATCCACGGTGAAACAGGCAATGACTGCCTTCTTTGGCCATTAATTACAATATTAAAATCATAACACACGACCAGGAGGTCAAGAGATCACTGTAAAGCGTTGCTTTTGTCGTTGAGAAAATATAAATCAAGATGTTCTCAGGTAGTAGATGACAACAGTTATCAAATAGGTATGATGAAATTGACAACCGATTTTTGTTAAAGTTCGGATTCTCACACAATTTACATCTTAAATACATTTTTTAACATCATTGATTTAGTAAGTAAACTGTGGTGGTTTTTAAAAATGTATTTAGGATGTAAGTGTGACTTATTCAAATTTTTATAGTCTCTAATGAGGAACACAGCAAAACATGGCATAAATTAAGAAAAGTGACTGAAGTTAGTTTTCTACAGTTAACTAGTTTTGATTTCTTTTGACTGAATGCTTTACTAAACTAAGGATTTAGGTCTTTGACTGCTAGTATATAAATATTAAAAGCATTTTCTATTATATATAAGAGATTATAGGAATAATAATAAACAAATTTAAAAGTTAAGGTCAAAGTAATCTTAAAATAATAAGATAAGAGATTAAAAATGCTATATAAATTCTTAGTAAATTACTTAGATATTGATTTTAATAGTTGTTAATAATTCTCTAGTAATTACAAGAGAATTATTAACAGCTATTAAAATCAATATCTAAGTAGATCTAAATTTTGGAAAAAACTAACAANACATTTTTTAACATCATTGATTTAGTAAGTAAACTGTGGTGGTTGTTAAAAATGTATTTAGGATGTAAGTGTGACTTATTCAAATTTTTATAGTCTCTAATGAGGAACACAGCAAAACATGGCATAAATTAAGAAAAGTGACTGAAGTTAGTTTTCTACAGCTAACTAGTTTCGATTTCTTTTGACTGAATGCTTTACTAAACTAAGGATTTAGGTCTTTGACTGCTAGTATATAAGTATTAAAAGCATTTTCTATTATATATAAGAGATTATAGGAATAATAATAAACAAATTTAAAAGTTAAGGTCAAAGTAATCTTAAAATCATAAGATAAGGGATTAAAAATGCTATATAAATTCTTAGTAAATTACTTAGATATTGATTTTAATAGTTGTTAATAATTCTCTAGTAATTACAAGAGAATTATTAACAGCTATTAAAATCAATATCTAAGTAGATCTAAATTTTGGCAAAAACTAACAAAATCAAAAGCACAGATGATTATACTTAACAATTCTTATACACTTGATCTTTAACTTAAAAGTATCTACATGTATATTTAAAGACCAAATTTACTATGTTAAAAAAATATTTAAGAGTCTATCCAATTGGTCATACTTGCTAATGGCACAGAATAACAATTAAATGTTAACTGTAATGCTATATTAAGCAATAATGTCTGTTCTGCCAATAGTTTACATTTCTGATTTCATCACTGCTGTTTATTTGCCCAGCTTAATTAAAAAATTATACACGTTTGTCAAAAGTTTTATTCATTCAACTACTATTAGTAATCATTGTCAATGAGATAGAAAAGATTCTAATTTTCTTAATATGTGTAATGAAGATTATTTGATAAATAAAAAATTTTTCTTGTTTTTTTCTTCTCTAGATGAAATGGTGCTTCTTTCATAAATGTTATGAACTTCTAATACAGAAATATTTCATTAATTTATATTGTCTCGAATATTTACAGATTTTTTGAAATATTTGAAAAATATGGTGATTATAAAACTGGACATGTCAAGTTGAAGAAACCCAAACAATTACAGGTATGATACTTAGATTATACAATACACTTTCTTCAGAAATTTACAATATTTTTTAATGAAATATATGTTCAATCTTATATCTAATGAAATATGTCTTAATTCAAATTAAAGACACAAATCATTTTATTATTAATATTCTTACAAAGTGTACTATTTTAAAGTGCAAGTTAGCCATAACAAATCACTTAATTTAATTTTAACAATATTAACATACGCAAGTTCTTTTTTTAAAATTAAAGTTTTTTATTAGATACTTTTGAAGTCTTATTAATTTTATTTTCAGGTCTCTTCCGTCAGTTTGGATTTCAGATTTTTAATTTAAATAAAGTTAGAATGAGGTTTTAAGTATTTTTTTTTNTATAATGCTTTTAGAGAGTATTGCAAATATTTTAATTTTATAAAAAATTAATTTTATAGAAATATGATCCTTAGAGAGCTTGCACCAACCCTTCATATTCCATGGTCAATACCTTTCCAGTTGGATGATCCACCAATTGTTCCAACAACGTTTGGTAAAATGTAAATACATGTATTTTTATTCTGATATTTGAACTGAAATTATTCTGAAATTAATTAAATTAAATTTTAAATCAAATTATTATGTCACTTTAGGATGGAATTACGATGTGTAATAGCAGTCATTCGTCATGGCGATAGGACTCCAAAACAAAAAATGAAAATGGAAGTTAAACATCCAAAGTAAGTTGTTTCATTATTTCCTTTTTTCTAGAAGATGTATACAATATAAATTACATATATTGTAAGTTCTTGTTTCAGTAAATCATTGACTGTTAATTATGCTTTCAATTAAAAGTTTTGATTTTAAGTTTGTTTAAGATGATTATCTTAACATTCTTTGTTATCCACTGTAGCTTTTTAGTCTGTTTTCTTATAAATCATGCTTGTATGATAGTAAAGTGCCATTGAGTATATTTTTTACATATAAAATTTTCAATTGTTATTGAAAGAAGTTGAAAGCCTTAATTATAGCATCGGTTAATTTTATTCCATATTTTTACATTTGTCATTTTTAATCTCAACAGTTTTGCCAGCACCTCTTTAATTATAATTAACAAACTGTTATTGTTTGCAATAATACAAGGTACTTTTCATGACATATCAAATGTGCACAAAATGAAACACTATTATATAAAACAGCATATCTTAAACAGAAATAAATCAATTAAATATTTAGAAAGTTTGCTATAAATATGCATAATGCTTTACTTACAGTTTAGTTCCTTTTTTTTTTTTTTACTCTTTCTTACCCTCTTTCTACTCTTTTGTTGCACTAAAGGAGTAATTTTTTTCTTACCCTTTATGGGTTTGGCCAGGTCCATAATGTGATGGCGAAAGCCTGGGATCAAGCTTATCTGGGCCAGAATGCACAAAAAAATTGTGGGGGTTGCTCAACTTGCACTCAACCCCAGAGCAGTAGACTGATGCCCAAACTTCCTCAATCATCTGGTCATCAAGTTTTTGACTGAGACCACCTTCAAGAATTTCTAAACTTTTAATTTCTTTGGCATTTTTTTACTTCTCTCTGCTTTTTGTTAAATCTTTATTAAAAAAAATAAATGAACATGCATACTCATATCTTTTAAACAGTGTTTTCAATTGGTGAAAAAGCATTTGATTATTTTTATAATTTGCTAATGCAAAGCCTCAAATTAACTTAAAAATTCTGTTGTGCAAACTCTCATTTTAGTATCGTAGAGATGATGACAAAACTAAGCTGGTAATCTTTACAAAATATTAAAGATAAAATACAACTAGCAGGTTTTCTTTANTTCAGCTAGCGTCTGACATGAGTCTTCACGAAGTAATGCCTCTAATTCCTTGTCTTGGTGCACCAGATCGTTCTTTATCTTCAACATCAAAATCATTATTTTTGAAGCGTCTAAACCAATCTCTGCATGTTGTTTCCGACAGAGCATGGTCGCCGTAAGTCTCAACAAGAATTCTGTGTGCTTCAGCTGCAGATTTTTTTTGAATAAAATAGTGCAATAAAATTCCCCGCAAATACTCTTTTTTTAGCACGAAACTAGACATGTTTAACACAATGAAAAAATAAGTTGTTTACACTTTGGTGAAATGACGTATACTGAATTTCAAGGTCGCTTATTGTACTTCCTTACAGATGTGTCACCATCTAAAAATAAACACACGTGGTTCTGGTAACGCCATCTGTTGGAAAACAGCGAGAACTTATTCAAGGTCCTTATAATATTGGCTCAGTATTATTTATGTGTTGCACTGAGTACAATCTTGTGTAGCATCAGTCACAATTGTGACCGGAGGACCTCTTTGGTGCCTTGACAGGACTGGTGTTACCATATCTTGTGCAACACAGAAGCTGCGGCAGCGAAATTGTTTTGGTTAGAAAGTGGTTCATATGAGTGGCCACGTACAGTGCAGTCCGATTCGGATGGAGGTGAGTGAGACAGTGTTGGAAGCAAGACACTCAGATACTAGGTTAACAAAACAAATACCCATTTATTTTTTGTTACTAGATCTACAGGCTAACAGTAACAAGATAATTAGACATTGGATATGAGAGTGACATTGATGCATTTCGCGAGTGTGTGTTTACAGTGAAATCACACATTATTATAAGTACCTGGAATCAGGAGAGAGTCATTTGTATATGAAATGATCATTTGATTGCCTTTAGAGTATTTTATACTTGAAAGTTCAGAGTACACTGGAAACAATTCAAAGAAAGATGTGGAAGATTCTGTCTGGGACAGGAGTAGGAAATTTCCTTGGGCAGAGGACATGATGGAGACTTCGGAGATGGAGACGATAATCTGTTATTCGCAGGAGATTGTACTCTATGTTCTTTTGGAGAGAGACAGGGTTCTATATCCACGGTGAAACAGGCAATGACTGCCTCCTTTGGCCATTAATTACAATATTAAAATCATAACACACGACCAGGAGGTCAAGAGATCACTGTAAAGCATTGCTTTTGTCGTTGAGAAAATATAAATCGAGATGTTCTCAGGTAGTAGATGACAACAGTTATCAAATAGGTATGATGAAATCGACAACCGATTTTTGTTAAAGTTCGGATTCTCACACAATTTACATCTTAAATACATTTTTTAACATCATTGATTTAGTAAGTAAACTGTGGTGGTTTTTAAAAATGTATTTAGGATGTAAGTGTGACTTATTCAAATTTTTATAGTCTCTAATGAGGAACACAGCAAAACATGGCGTAAATTAAGAAAAGTGACTGAAGTTAGTTTTCTACAGTTAACTAGTTTTGATTTCTTTTGACTGAATGCTTTACTAAACTAAGGATTTAGGTCTTTGACTGCTAGTATATAAATATTAAAAGCATTTTCTATTATATATAAGAGATTATAGGAATAATAATAAACAAATTTAAAAGTTAAGGTCAAAGTAATCTTAAAATAATAAGATAAGAGATTAAAAATGCTATATAAATTCTTAGTAAATTACTTAGATATTGATTTTAATAGTTGTTAATAATTCTCTAGTAATTACAAGAGAATTATTAACAGCTATTAAAATCAATATCTAAGTAGATCTAAATTTTGGCAAAAACTAACAAAATCAAAAGCACAGATGATTATACTTAACAATTCTTATACACTTGATCTTTAACTTAAAAGTATCTACATGTATATTTAAAGACCAAATTTACTATGTTAAAAAAATATTTAAGAGTCTATCCAACTGGTCATACTTGCTAATGGCACAGAATAACAATTAAATGTTAACTGTAATGCTATATTAAGCAATAATGTCTGTTCTGCCAATAGTTTACATTTCTGATTTCATCACTGCTGTTTATTTGCACAGCTTAATTAAAAAATTATACACGTTTGTCAAAAGTTTTATTCATTCAACTACTATTAGTAATCATTGTCAATGAGATAGAAAAGATTCTAATTTTCTTAATATGTGTAATGAAGATTATTTGATAAATAAAAAATTTTTCTTGTTTTTTTCCTCTCTAGATGAAATGGTGCTTCTTTCATAAATGTTATGAACTTCTAATACAGAAATATTTCATTAATTTATATTGTCTCGAATATTTACAGATTTTTTGAAATATTTGAAAAATATGGTGATTATAAAACTGGACATGTCAAGTTGAAGAAACCCAAACAATTACAGGTATGATACTTAGATTATACAATACACTTTCTTCAGAAATTTACAATATTTTTTAATGAAATATATGTTCAATCTTATATCTAATGAAATATGTCTTAATTCAAATTAAAGACACAAATCATTTTATTATTAATATTCTTACAAAGTGTACTATTTTAAAGTGCAAGTTAGCCATAACAAATCACTTAATTTAATTTTAACAATATTAACATACGCAAGTTCTTTTTTTAAAATTAAAGTTTTTTATTAGATACTTTTGAAGTCTTATTAATTTTATTTTCAGGTCTCTTCCGTCAGTTTGGATTTCAGATTTTTAATTTAAATAAAGTTAGAATGAGGTTTTAAGTATTTTTTTTTATTTTAAAACATAGTTTAAGATGACATTTTTAAATAGCTTTGCTTCAAATATAATTTATGATTACAATTCCATACTTATTAAAAAAGTTCATTAACAATAAAAAGCAAAATCAGGAAAGACATCATACATAAAATTCCACTATATAAACATGTCTTCAATCTTATTTAATATTATATAAGAAATTCTGTACTGTACATATGGATTGCATGCAATCTGAATCAAAGAACATTTGTATGATTTAATTAAAATAGAAAAACGGCAATATTGTTGGGAAAAATGCTAGATAAAGTTATTGATTGTTAAATGAACAGAGCCTAATTTAACTGTGGTTACTTCTAGTTTAGCCTTTCTTGCTTAAAGCATTATAAATTTATATAGCTGTAACTTGAATGATTACAATTAACAGGAGAAAGGAGAAATTTCCATAGATACTTGATTTTGGGTCTTATTTTATTAATAAAATCTTTGAAATTACAAAATGTTTAATTATATTTTCATAACACAAATTGGAAGTATTAAGAAGCATAATCATAAATTATATTTGAATCAAAGATGCTTGAAAACATCATTTTAAATTACTGTGTTTTAAACTATAGATATTTGACTTGAAAATATTTAAACTATAGTTCTACCTCAAACTCAAAATTGATGCGAGGGATCTGAAAGTCTGATTAAAATAACTTCAAAAACATTAATCTCAATAAATAAATTAAGAATTTCTTTATACAAAAGTGCTTTTTTATAATCTTGTAAAATCAATAGATCTTGAAATGAGAAATGAAGTGGTGATTCTCTATGGAGAAATCATTAAAATCATCATCTGCTTCAAGTTTTATGTTAAAATGATCAGCTGAATTCAATAAAAATTTTGTCACTTCTGAATATGACAAATTATTTTTAATTATATCAATTTATTTTAGCCGTTGGTAAAAAAATAATCAATATGTAGCAAAATGGCTGTATATTGCTGTATCACACAATTTATCTGTTGATATAAAACAAATAAAACATTCATACTTATAGCATAATGCACTTATTTGAGTTTAGATAGTTTTCAGAAAATATAATTTTAGAATCGATTAAGGAGTCCACTCTTCATTCAGATTTTAAACTTTTTTTGGGACTAAACAGCCCATCATCAGAATTGTCTAAAATGAAACATGAAGATTCTTAGTTTTTTATCTGAATTATTAGTAGTATTCTTAAGATATTTGGAAAGATATTAGTTTATATATATATATATAATATACTGCTACAACATTGTTCTGAAGACTGAATGATAAAACTGTCATAAATTCAAACTACTGAATACTTTTCCAAAATAAATCAATGGTAGATAACTTTATAATGGAAAACTATAGATCCCACTTGCAAATTTTTTGAAGAACTCCCTTTCTTACCTGTTGCAAATCCATGAGCAAATTTCAGTGTTAATATTGATAAATGAAGTAAATATTTAAAATCTTGGCGGACGGTATTTAATTATTTTGAAAACAAAAACTTTGTGAATTTCTTCGCTTTCTTTCCGTCTTTTAATCCAGAGGAAAGGTCATCTCTGCATATAAGAATTCTGTTTTGGACTATCACTGGATTAAAAGATGGAAAGAAAGCAAAGAAATTCACAAAGTTTTTATATATTTTTAAAAAAGTTAGTATTGATGATGATACAAAATTTATTTTAAATTCAAATTAATTATTTGCTTTTTTTTTATTTCCTTTTTATTAAAGATTTTCTGTTGGAAAGTCTCATATCTATATAATTAAATTATGTTAATTAAGTTCGTGGAACTTGGCTATCTGTAAAAACCATTAGGAAATGTTTTGTTTATGTTCCACTTAAAATTATGATGGGCAAAAGTGCTTCCTTTGGAAAGTTGAGGAATATGAGTCTCCTGGGACTCGATTATTGCAAAGACAAAAGAAAGTTGTTAGTAGTAATTATTCTGTTGTCCATATTCACAACCAAGGATCTAGAAAAGTTGGAAGTTAATCAATAAGCATTCACTTTACTTTTAGTATGTAAATGCTTATTGGTTAACTTATAAATCTATTAATCCTTAGTTGTGAAAATAGCCAAATAGACATATTTTTGCATGTCAGTCAGTTTTATTTTATGAAAATTATTTGTTGTTGTATTTTTGTGTCTTAAAATTTTGTTCAGCTTCTTTTCAACAACTTGAGTCGTTTAGCATTTTAGCCAAAAATCTAATATATTGTTGATAATGCCATTTCCTAATGGATAAACAAAACATTTCTTCAGGAACAATATAAATCAGAAGCAATGACATAAAACATAGCCAAATGAACAACTGTTGATTTGCTATACAAAAACATATCTACAAGTATTATATATTAAGGTTTGAAACTGTAATGAAACATACAAAATCAAATATTCTTGACAGAAGTTTCCATGTTAAATCTCACATATATTTTAATACCAACTTAAAAATTTATTCTAGTTGTGGTCCTCTCACATTATGGAGTCAGCGGGAGCAATTGTTACTGCCCCGGTGGTAGATTGACAGACAGAGAATAATGACTTCGATCAGAATAGGGAGAATACGATGACAGTGATATCAAGTGGAACATTGATTCGAGCAACACAAATAACTGTCATTGCAGTCGGCTTTCAGATGTTGATATCTGATACATGAATGCATGACCAAATAGTCTTTTTTATAGTAAAATGAATTGGTAGTCTTCAATATATGTAATGATATGCTCTGAATACTCCAAATTTGTTACTTTACAGAGCTATAACAATTTGAAAATAAATTTTATAATAAGTATATTTTTACTTAAGCTTGTTTTATCTATGTATGTTTTCTAGATTCTTATAGAAATTACTTGGTTGGTTAAATTATTAAAAAGATGCCATAGTCTGCAAGATTAAATTTAGACAAATTGTTAAAATTATTTTGTCTTTAATTCAGCAGATTAATATAATTTATTATTATTGGATGTTTTTGATTTTACAGTCGTGTAGAAAAGTCAAATTTGATAATATCTAATTACTGATATTTAATATTTACATTGACTTCAAATTAAAAAAAAAACTGTCTTGTTAGTTGCTTATTAATTTGATAAAGAAATTATTGAAATGTAACTTTAATGATTACTAGAGAAATTTATTATTTTATATTTATAAAGTAATCATACTGTCAAATTTTAAATATTTTTTACCAAACAATCTGCCATATTATTGGGCTGTAATAAAATTAATGTAATAATAAGATATAATGTAATTTGACTAGAGGTAGATGCTTAGGCTACAGTCTTGTGGCAATTTTAATTTAGAATGTTCTGGAAGAAGAGATTGGCCCCAAGTAGGATTTGAACCCACAACTTCTTATCGCGCAAATGCATTATTATAGCCCAATAGATTATTATGTAGGCAGACTGTTTGGTGCTCGTATTCAAGATTGAGTTTGTAGATTTATTCTTTATAATATTTTTTTCTGTTTTTAGGAAATTTTAGATATTGCTAGGTTTTTATTGAGTGAAATTGAGCAAAAGCCAGATCTGGAAATTGAAGAAAATAAGACCAAATTGGAACAATTAAAGTCTGTACTGGAAATGTAGGTTATGAGATATTTCATATTGCTTTGTGATATATGACACCGGAAGGTAATGGTATTATTATTACCTTTTGTCAGTTAATGTTAAATTTTGATTAATAATCATAAAAGTTAAATAAGTTGTTTTAAATTTAAGAAATTTTTAAAATATATTTTCACAATATTTGTTAAACTGCTTTTGCTGCTTATTAAATTCTAGCAATAATACACTGAAAATAGTTTAAATGTAGAAACTCTACTTACCAAACAAATATCCCGAATTTGTAATAGAATGCTTTGCTTTTTATGTTTAATGATTTAAGTAAACACCATGTTTAGTCTTTTAACTTAATATTAACTTGTGACCAGAGCATACTATATTAACAAATTAGCATCACTGCTTCAGGTCCTCTACTTAAAAAAATCTAATTTTCCTATATTCTATGTTTAACATGGAAATTTCATCTTTTATGACATGATCTACTCTTTTCATACCAGCTGTCTCAAAGATTCAAGATTCACCTGTCTTAGTGATGTATATTTCAGGTCTGGTCACTTTTCAGTCCTAATTTTTTTTTGTTAATTTAGCATCGTGAAATGGTTTTAAGTGAACCTATTCACTTAATTTGTCTTTTAAATTATTTTTTATTTTTGTTTGTATTTTATTTTTATTACTGTCCAATAAACATTGTGTTTTAATTTATTGTTAAACTTCAACTTTTAATAACTTGTTAATTAACAGTTATGTGATTTTAAAACATGTAATCATTCATTGGTTTGTATACAAAAATTACTTTCATTGTGAAAATTTATAATTGTAACAGCTTCATTTTAATAACAATATACAAAATTCTTTATATTTATGTTTGAATTAAAAAAGTAATTGATGTATACATAGTTTATTGTCAAATTCTTCATTGAAATGAATTAAACAGTTATAAAGATAGATTATTTAAAATATAATAATTTTGTGATTTATCTTACTTTTTTAAGAATAACACACTGAAATCGATATTATTTAGGTATGGTCATTTTTCTGGAATAAATCGCAAAGTTCAATTGAAATATCAACCTCAGGGAAGACCTAGACGATCAAGTAGTGATGAAGGTAACTTGTTTTCTTTGTGTGGTGTATAAGTATAATAATTTAGTTTTATATTGGTTATTTTTATTTAATTTCATTTACATTTTAATAGCAGTATTAATATATTTTTTCATTTTTTGGGGTTCTCATGACGATTGTCAGTGTTGGTGAGTTTTGAGTGAGCTTGTCAATAATAAACTCTAGTGCTTTGGACATGATTTATATTAATATTTGTGTGCTTCTTTACTTCAATTATACTAAAGATTTTGACATATATTTATTACTATGTGCTTTACTGCTAAATGGAGGCATTGAGTCTAATCCAGGTCCGATGTCTCGCATTCCTCCTCCCCCTCCTTCAAAGTCATCTGTATTGTCTATTGGCAAACGACAAAGATCGCCTAGTGAACCAACTCTAAAATCTCAATGACTCGAATCTTTTTTTCCTCTATTGGCTTCATCTACTAATGTACCTCAAAATTTATTTTCTTTTTTGGAGGTGAAATTTGATAGTATTTTGACTAATCTCAAAGATTTGGCTACTAAATTTGAATGGCTGGCAAATTAACATAAAGACTTTGATTATCATCTCCTTAATGTGGTGAAGAAGGTGGAAGAACTTTCTAACTTAAATGTTTCTTCTACTACTCAGACTTCCTATTTTTTATACTTCTTAGATTTATCGTTTAATGAACGTCAGAGAAATAATATTGTTATCGCCGGATTAGAGGAAAATTTCTCTGAAGTTCTGTCTTTGGTTTCCAATATTCTGTCATCTGTAAAAAGACCCAATGGTGACTCTATTCTGGTGAAAGATCTTAAAATAGTTTCAAAAAATAATTTGGTGGTGGTTGAACTTGACGTTCTCGCTGATAAAAAACTGATTTACTGAAATGTACATAACATTCAAATGAGGGAAAAGTGTTCTAGGATAAAATTTTTTGATGATTTACATTGGAGATTGAGAATTAGGAGAAGAAATCTTGTTCCTTTTTACCAATAAGCTAAGGCGACAGATAAATCTGCATTCATGAGAGCTGACTGTTTAACAATTGATGGAGATAATTTTACATCTGATTTACTGAATAACAAGTTGATGAAGATTGAAATTTTTTTATTACCAGGGAAGTTGGTGGATCATCAAATGGACGAAAATTAAAAACTTTACCTGTTATCCCTTGCTCAGAAGTTTTTTTTACATTAAAGATTCTATCTTGGAATAGTCAAGATTTATTGTATACAAATTTTTTTGATAAGAGTTTTGTTGATTTTGTTTTTTCATATCATATTATTGGTATAACTGAATCATGGATGATATTTTCGATGAAAACCCTTCTTTCACTGTTAGATTCTCAGTTTTATTTTACCGAATCCCTAGCTCATAAACCTGAAGGACCTGGAAGACCATCTGGTGGTTTGTTCTTAGTAGTTTCTTAGAAACTTGGTGAGTTTGAAATTTATCATCTCTCCGATAATTTTATTATTGCTAGGCTTACATTTGATAAATTTTTGTTTAATGACCGTTCTAGACTTTTAATCATCTTGGTTTATATTTCTATCAATAAATGACTCATTGATCGAGCATCTTGATAGATTGATTCTTGATTTCAAAGAAGATGACAACATTTTGATTCTTGGGGATTCTAATGCTAGAATTGCTTCTGAAATAGATACACTATATACAGGTTCTAATTTAAATTTTTGTAATCTTAGAGAGTCTAAAGATATGATTTTAACTATAGGGGAAGGAATTTTTTGAATTTAGTTAAATCTTTTGATTTGATTCTTTTAAATGGTCATTTTGTTAGTGATTTTATTGCAAATTTTACATTTATTTTCTCTTTGGGTGCATCAGTTATTGATTTGATAGCTACAAATTCTGAATTAGTCGATAACATGGTGGACTTTAGGGTTTTGAATAAATTTGATTCCAATCATCTCCTAGTTTCTATTAGTTTCAGGATTGGTTCTCTTTCTTTTAGTAAGGAATTGCCTACTGAAATTTATTGTTATATGTGGAGAGACTCATGTTTGGACAAGTATTTGTATAATGTTACCAAGCGATATGCAGATTTTAAAAGTAGTCGTTTTGGATTTTTTTCTTTTTATTCATCCTTTGTTGACGTGATTCTTGAATCCATAGTTCAAAGTGATATGTATGTCAAATATAATTGTTCAAGAAAGATTGTGAAATCTTGGTTTGATGCCGATTGTTTACGGTTGAAAAAAAGAGAAAAATTGGGCTCTGTGATTATTTTGACAATCACGATCTAGGCAACAGTTTACTATTTATTCTAATTTGGAAAAAAATTTCAAATCTCTCTGTAAGGCCAAAAAGAAATTGTTTTGGAATTAGATTAATTTTCAGATATCACATATTAAAAATTATGCTGAATTTTGGAAGATTGTTAATAAATTTAAAACTTATAAATTTGTGTATAACATTTTTATTTGCGATTGGTCGGATTATTTGAAAATCTATTTCTCTGGACCATCTTTGGCTGCACTGTCCATTTGTACTAATGACACATACCATGGGCCCATTACTTGATGAAAATTTTTCTCTTGATGAATTACAATTTGTAATGTGTTCCTTAAAAAATAACAAAGCCCCTGGCTCAGATGCTATTAAGGCTGAGATGATTAAACCTCTTCTGATTAATGCTATGAACAATTTATTATTTTTATGTAATAACTTAAAAACTAATTATTCCTTCCCTACTATTTGGAAAAATATCTGCTTAAAAATGATATATAAGAAGGATAATCGTTCTGATCTTATCATCCAATATCATTAGTCACTGTAATTAGGAAAATTTTTTTCTACGCTATTGGTTAATCATTTGCGACTTTGGCTTGAGCGGTCTCATGTTATTTCTATTAGTCAGGGTGCTTTTGTAGCGAATAGAGGTGTTGATTATAATTTATTTTTTTTTCTTGGAATTTTGCAATTAGTTTTAGCTAAGAAATGTAATAAATTATATGTTGGATTTATTGATTTGTCAAGGGCGTTTGATACTGTGAGACTCAGCCTTGTTTACTTAAGAACAGCCTGACCTAAATTGTTAACAATACTATTTTATAGTTTAAATATCAAATTTCACACCTGGAAGTTAATCATTCAACACATTCTCAGATGCTAAAAAAGACAGTTTCACATAACCTTTCGACCTATTGTTGCAAGTTTGTCAAATGAATATAGGAACAGACTGATTTTCGAGGCAGTTGCCGTCATTCCTCCGATGTGTTACCATCTTCACCTGACCCTCGGAAGTGATTTTTCGTTCCAACTCATCGCGTACGCGCAGTGCAAATTTTTGGATTTATTTCATCGGTCTTAAGTATTAAGTGCCTAACATTTGGATTACTTCATCAGGAACCTGATGTACTAAGTGCCTCCTATTGGGATTATCAACGTCGCCGATTCGGAACATTTGAACCAAGATTTCATAACGATTTAATCAACCTCAAGGTAATTATCACCATGCAAAATTTGTAAACTCTCTCTCTTGTTCGCTTATTACACCCCTTCTATCGAACTTAGCAACTTAGTGTAAAAGATGTATAGCCTATTGGTACCCATTAAACTGTTGTTACGTTAACCTAGTCTCTGCGTGAGTCACTTCTGGTGTGCTGTCTCTCAATCTATCTGCCCAATTGACCATATCCGCAACTGTTCGCGTAACATATGTAACCCTCTCATCCTGATGGAGGTTACACTGGTGTCAGTCCTGACAAAGATTGCGGCCTTTGGGTTACAAAACAATAGATCATGATATTTTATGGTCGAAGCTTTGTCAGATAGGTATATCCTCTTCTTTCATTAACCTTATATGACAATTGTTTTCTGATACTGCTTTTCAAATTGAAGTTAATCGTTGTCTTTCAGAAGTGGTAATTGCTAATAAAGGTCTTCCACAAAGTGAACCACTTAGTCCTATTTTGTTTATTTGTTAACGATCTCCTGGATTTTTTTATATCCACAATACTATGGGTATACCTACATCATCGGAGGTAGAATTGAACTGTCTTTTGTTTGTTGATGATATTGTAATAATTTCATATTCACCTATTGACCTTCAGAGGAAGCTTAATCTTTTACAGGATTATTGTAAGTCTAATAAACTACATATTAATGAAGCTAAATCCAAAGTAATGGTTTTTTTGGATAGGGGACAGATTGGGGAAGGCTGATAAATTTTATTTATCTAACTCTGTGTTGGAGATCGTTTCGTCTTACAAATATCTGGGCATTTATTTTACTCTGCTGGGCTCATTTTCTTTTCACCTAGATAAATTGTTTTTAAAATATAAACTTCAACTTTCTAATTTAATAAAGCTTATGGTTAGAATGAACCAGTCTTCTATTAAGTCATACTTTTGATTGTTCGATTCCTTGATACGTTTAAGTTTGGGATTTATGTTTCTGATTTAGGGATCGTCTCTTGTTGATAAACTAGAGAAGACACAACTGAGATTTATCAGATTGATATTCCATATTAATTGTTCGGTGCCTGGACCTGTTTTAAGATTTGAATTGGGCCATCCACCAATGGCTATACGTTTAGTATTGACCATTTTTAGATACTGGGTTAAAATTTTAGAGCACCAGAATTTGATCTTAGCAAGCTGGTTTATAATAAATTGAAATTAATAGGTAAAAATTCTTTGGTTGTAACTTGGTTTTCTTCAGTTGAACGTTTACTGTCTGACTTAGGTTATTCTATTGCCTACTATACTCAAATCCCTGATAAAAAACACTTTCTAGCTGAACTTTTGCAGTCATTAAAAGATAAGTATTGGACTCAAGATATTCATTATATTGATTAAAAGTGTAGTTCTTTTGAAATTTTCTTATCTTTTCCATGGACACCCCGATATTATTTGTTATCAAACTTAAGTTACAATATTAAATCTTTAATAATACAACTACGACTTAATGACTATACTATTGTATTAATTTAAATGGGCATAGAATGAATGTATCGGCTCATTCCAGTTGTCCACTATGTAACAGATTTTGCGAAAATGTTAAGAACCACTTATTTGTATCTTGTGAATTTACCGAGCACTTAAAGGACCTTTTTTTTGACAATTGATTTTGATATGTTTGCTTATACGATGGTAATTTAAGTTCTGTTATGTTGTGTAAAGTTTATAAATTTTTCTGTTATTCATTAAACATGTTAACTTAATTAGTAATGTTATGTAATATTATTTACTATTCTTGTAATTATGTATAACGATATTTGTATTTGTTAAAGTCATTACAATTTTGTAACCCCCTTTGTAAAGGTGAAAGCCATAACAAATAAATGTTGATTGATTGATATTTTTTTTGTAATACCTACAACTGGTGAACTTAAATCTAACTTAAAATTAAGTCTCCACAAAAAACTGATAAAAATAATTAAAATTCAAAGCATTTACAAAACTCTTAGAATCTAATTTGACTAACCATTACATCAGAAATGCCAAAAGAATCCAATCTCGTCACTCTCTAGGTTTCACTCTCAAAAGTATTGTCTCACTTGCGCTTGGTAGCATCACTTCATCTGTCTTATCTGTCTCATCTGTCATCTGTTCGTTGCTTTGTAAGTCCTGAGTGTAACATTACGTTAGAGCACACTGTTTTATCCCATTTACATATGTTCTTGCTAATAGTTAGTTTTTTAATTCTTTGCAATCTGTTTCCAACAAGAAATCAGTCCAATTTTTTTCAAAAATTTTTTGCTGATTTTTGAAATCAGTAACAATACAATTAAATGATTACTCTTTAACTGCCTTTGGAGATTGTTTAATCTAAGATTTCATTTTAACTTGGTGGTGATGTTCTCAAGAGTAACAATCATGTAACTTTTGTCTTCCAGAAATTTTTGTCTTTTAATAAAAGTAAAACATCCCCAAACTAAATTATAGTAGAGCATCGATTATCCAACTCAGTTGGGGACTGGGGTTGGTCAGATAACTGAAAAAAACAGATAACCGAAAAGTATGAAAAAATACATTATTAGTGTAGTATATTAGTATATCCCATGTAATTAGTATATTAGTATATCACTATTAACCTACTTCGCATTGAATTTTCATCAATGTTAAACCTAACAAAATTATTTTTAAATTATTTTATTGCTCACAAAACAAACAACCACTCATAATTAGAAAATTAAGCCTCGTTTAAATACTGGCCTCCCTTTCATGGTCGAGCCAGTGTTGCCAGCTAAAACACACAAAAATTTAACAAAAATAATATTAAAGTAGCCAAGACATAGCCAAATATTGTAGCCCCACATTACTAGCAGACATTTGAATTTGCTGACTAGATTGTGGTCAGTTAACCAATGTGACAGTTGATCGGGGCTCAGATAATCGATGCTCTACTGTATAACCATAACTAAATCAAAAACCCAGAAACAAAAAATAACCTTTAGAGTTGACTCGTTACAAAATTTTTGCTTTCCACATTTTGTAGTGTGAACCAATTTTGCTAAATGAATAAAAATTGCTTTCTAATTTTTCATTCGTTTTCACTATTTGTCAGTATTTTAAAAGTGTATATGACTTATTTTAGACTGATTTACTTTTCCTTTTGTATGTTTTTCAAATGTATTATACATATTAAAAATTGAAATGCCTTTGTTAAAAATTACATGTACAAATTCAATTGTGCAGTATTAATTTGTGCTGTGCCATATTTTTGCATGACTGTATTCACTCTGAAAGCAATTTAAAAGTAGTTTGACCTGTATATTTTTCACACTTATATAATACTTTTCTGTTCCCTCAAAAAAACAAATTGGGTTCAACTGTACTTACGAAACTTTTATTTTCATAACCTATAATTATGTAATTAAGTGTAATAAAGAACTTGCTAACATTAGCCTAAGGTAAGAAGCCTTAAGGCCTCTGTTTAAAACAACATTGAAAATATAGAATTAAAAAATTCTCTAGGGTAAATTCTTAGATTTTTATTAATTCTGGATTTTTTTACCAGTTGGAAATACAGATCAAGTAAACTTCTATGAGAGAAAGCAATGTCTATGTATTGATAAATTCACTAAGATTCAAAAGATCTTAGACAAACTTTAAATGTCAGTCAGAAATACAAAAATAAACCAATTTTACCTAGGAACGTATAGCCACTAATGCTATCAGAGTTGCTAAAAGTATAGGAAGAATTACACAGAAAGAAATACAGATAATGTATATAACATGTTTTATTAAAACACTCAGGTAGCATTTGTGGCTGTGTTCCTAGGTAAAAATGATTTTTTTTTTATTCCTGATCTGTTAATACTTTTAAAGTTTGTCTAAGACCTTTTGAATTACCCTGTATGTTCACTTTTTAATATAAGTATTGTGTATATCACTTTATATTTTAAATAATTTATTATCTTTATTTATGGCAATAGTTTCTATCAATTTTTCAAGAATGTCTTGAGACAGTTACACAAGTAAATTCAAAATTAATTTTGTAATTTTCCAAATTATTTTTGTAAAAGTACTCTGATAAATAAGTTAATTTATTACTAATAATTTGAAATAAAAAAACAAAAAAATATTACATTATAGAATATATTTTTTCCAGTAATATGGAACGTTTCTGTTTGACGTATTCGTTTTGAGAATGTATCTTTTTATATTTATAAAGTATAGATTATTTACGTAAAACTGATTTATAATCACATTATAAAATATACTACAAGTAAATTTCTTAATTCCAGATACGCCAAGGGAACCATCTTTAGTTTTAATATTGAAATGGGGTGGCGAATTAACGCCGGCTGGAAGAGTTCAAGCAGAAGAATTAGGACGTGTATTTCGATGTATGTACCCGGGGGGACAAGGTATGCTTCTGCATCAATTAATACAGGCAAATGCAAATGCCATTTTTTTAAAATATATTTTTTGGATTTTGTTTTGTTTTTTGAACGTAGTTTTTTCATTCAAGAATTTTTTTAATGTTTTGTGTTTATTTTGTTTTTGGTGGAAGTTTATTTTTGTTTAATTTAATTGATGTGTTTATTTCTCAATGTCTACAAAGTAATATTTTAATTGTATTTTTATATTCAGTTTTTGTAAATTATTTTTAATTGATTTGCATCTTCTAAAATAATAAAAATTGAGTTGCATATCTCTATTTTATAATAATAATAATAATAATTTCAAAATTCGTCTAACATTTTTATTATAATAACTCAAATTTTTCACGCATTAATTATTATTAACTTACATTGATAAATATTTTCCAATAATATTGACCCACTTTTTAATTACCATATGTATTATTTTGCTTCTTGTTCTAAAAATGATTTATAAAAAAAATGAAATAAGAGAATAAAAACAGAGATGTGATGCAGGAAAGTTGTATATTAGGTATTGCATTTTTGGATATAAATTACTTACTACATATAAATCCTAGACAAAAAAGTAGAATATTCATTTAACTAAAAGTTTAGTGTACATTTTCTCTTGAAGAACACAGAGTTTTTACAAAATTTTTTTTCAACACTATATAAACAGTGCTTATGTATACTTTTTATATCCATTAATCATACAAATTAACTCGAACATTTTTTGTTACAAATGGAAATGAAATGACAAAAAAATAGAACAACAGTTTGGCCATGACAAAAAATTAGAATATTAGCAAGAATAGCCGTACAAACAGCCATAAAAAAACTAAATTATAATGCAAATTTGCGTATTGCTGGGCACTGTAACATGGAGTGTAAGTGTGACATCAGTGACAAAACTAAAGATACTATTATACATAGCCTTATACAAAGCAGGAAGAACACAAAAAAAGGAATTGCGAATTATATAAAGTGCTTGCAGCCAACAGTCTCTGGGGTACTGAAAAACAAAACGGTGTTCAAGTTTTAACTAACAAGTAATGCCAGAAATGTGGACGTAAACAAGCAATGACTGCGGGGATGAGAGAAACATGAGAAGGATTGTTGTGAAAAACTGCTTTAAAAGTGTTACACTTGCACGCACAATGGATACCAACTGGAGTGAACGTTATTAGCCAAACTACATGCCGAAGGTTGCACAATTTGCACTTCAACTGCTGTGTTCCCAAGCCATAAAAGCCATCTCTAACAAAAAAGAAATGACAAGTGCATTTCAGATGATGCAGAGAGAGGTTCATGTGGAGACAAGACAACTGGAATAAAGTTCTTTTCAGTGGAAAATCCCTGTTTTTTCTCGCCTGCGGTAACCAAGGCCCATGTGTATGGAGAACAACTGAAAAGGACTGTATGAAGAGATCTGTTGTCCATCATGATCTGGGGATGCATGAGTGCTAATGGCGTAGCACAACTGTGCATTCTTCAGGAACGTGTCAATGCACAGACATATCAAGACATCTTAGAGACATTTATGATACCATTGACAGAGAATTTAGTTGAGGAAACATTTCCATTTCAACAAGACAGGGCATCCTCACATACCACAAAGTCAACTATACATTGTTTACAAGAACAACAGATTGCAATCCTGCCTTGGCTAAGCAATTCACCAGACTTGAAACCCATTGAAAATTTGTGAGAAGTCATGAAACAATGACTTAATGAACGGTACCCAGTTCTAAATAGGAACTGGTGACATGCATTTGATACATTTTGAACTGCATCACCAGAAACAAATGCGAAGCATTACAGTAGAGCGTCATTTATCCAAATCAATTGGGGACTGCGGTTTTTCGGATAACTTATTTTTCGGATAACCAATTATGTACGAAAAAATACATTAACCTATCCCATGTTGAAATTTTTCTCCGTTGTGTGTCACTTTGCGTTGAATTTTCGTCGATGTTAAGCCTAATGTAAATTTTTTAAAATAATAACCGTGGCTATTGCATCGTTAAAAATTATTTCTTTATTTTTTACAAACAAAATAAATATATTGAAAAAATATAAAAACAAAAAATTATACTTTAGAAGTTAATTTAGTATCAAAAATGTTCAACTCAGCATGACACGCAGTCCTCAGAAAAACACCACACAAAAGTGCCAGTGCTGCCAGCTAAAAAAACACATCAACAAAAAAATATTGGAGTAGCCCAAGGTATAGCCAGATTGCAGTGCCACAGCATTAGTGAAAATTTAAATTTGCCAACTAGAATTCTTTCGGATAAACGACACTCTACTGTAATTTGCATCATGCCCGACAGATTGCAAGCAGTAATTATGGCAAATGTCACCGCCACAAAATATTAAGTTTATTTTGTTGTATTTCCTATATGTAACACACATTTAGCTAATATTTTAATTTTTTGTCATAGACAAACTGTTGTTGTATTTTTTTTATCATTTGATTTCTATTTGTAACAAAAAAACATTAATTTGT